TCTTTCCACCCCTTTCATGCCCACTTTCTGGTGCCTGGAGCCACACTTCTGAGCCTGGGCCTCGGGTCCCTGTGCATTCTGGCTCACCTTCTAGCCCTTCTCTCCTGTCTTTTGCCTGCCTCGCTCTCTGTGGCCAGGTGGGCCCTGCTCAGCTGCCCCTCTCTGGGCTGCCTCAGTGGGACCCCTTCCCCTGGAGTCTGTATGAACAGCCCACTCATCCTGCAAGGCCCATCCTGGAAGGAACATGCCTTCTCTGGAAACTTGTCAGAATGCTGAGTCTAGTTTAGAAGCAAAGATTTGGTTCCCAGAATGAGTTTCATCCAGGACAGATAGTGAGGAAAGCAAGATGGGATTAGATGGGCAAGAAAGGAGCCAGTAAAAGAAGAGGGGTTGAGGTCTGGAGGGAGGGTTTTGCACTCACCTTGTCTTGCTGGCTTACTCTAAGCAAGAAGCATCCCCTCACATCCTCACCCACTTCCCCACCCCAGAGCCTGCCAGGTGCCACTTCTCTGAACTCAGTGAGCATCATGCCACGCTGCAGTGCAAGCTCCCTGTCTGGGACAAGGTTATATTCAGATTGCCACAACTGAGCACAGTGCCCAGGTGCTCCCATACTCAGGGAATCCCCCTAGCTTGCTGGTACAAAGGCATTTGCTGCTGGCTAGATGGCTGTGAGAAACAGACCCAAGTGAGAATTTGCTTGGGCCCACGGCCAAGGAGAAAGCCAGGTTAGGCAGCATCACCTGCCTGGCACTGGGGGCAGCAACTTAGTTCCATCGGGAGCTCTGGGGTATAAGGCTTATCTCAGAGTAGGGCAAACCTGGGACAGTGGAGCTGGGATTTGAGACACCAGCCCTAGCAGTGCAGATGAGTGGTCACTGAGGACAGGTGGAGTGTGGCACAGAATCATGGAAAGGACCCTGGGGTGAGGGTGGGGCTGTGGCTCTAGTGTCCCCACAAAATCCAAGCAGACATTCAGTCTTTACTGTGAGGTAATAAGAGTGGAAATTTAATCAAACTTAGGTTTCTGGAGGCAGGAGCTTTGGAGTAATTTGGATGGAATGAGGCCATTGGGTGGGTCTCTAACCAGTCTGTTGTGGATTTGTAGAGAGGAGAGGCCTGAGCTGGAATGTTCTGTCCACCATGTGGACCTTTTATCCCATTGTGACTCTGCAGGAAGGACTTCCCTGGAAGCACTTGTTTCATAGCATCTCAGCCTTCAGAAACCTAAACCAAGTAACTCATTCTTTGTAAACAACCCAGCCTGGGAAATTCAGTTACAGCAACAGAAAATGAACTAAGACATACTGACACTATCACAGGTTTTGAGCAGCCTTTGTTCTGATCACTGTTGTATAAGAGTGAAGTTTAGGTGGAATGGAACCAGCCCTATAGAATTTACTGCTGTAGAGCACGAGCTCCCCGGGAGCAGAAATTTGGCCAAGGAAGCCCAGCTTTCTGACCCCCAAAGAGCTCCCACAATACACTGTGTGAGAGGCTTGGAGGCACAGGGGCAGTAGCGTGCATGCGTGCGTGCGTGTCTGAAGAGCTGCCACAGCTTTCTCAGCAGGAGGTGTTGGAGGCTTGGGCAGTGGTGGAATGAGGCATGAGTCGGGGGTGGACTTGAGCACAAGTATGATCATCAGAACCTGGGGATGGGAAAGGAGGCCAATAATCTCCACCTCATTGTCTATTTCTAGTCTCCCTCACAGGACAAAGCTTTGTTTTAATTCAGAAGCACATTTCAGCTGGGCACGGTGGCATGCTGCAAGCCCAGCTACCAGGGGCATTGATGCAGGAGTGTGGCCAACAGTACAATGGAAACATTTTTCATCACAGACAGAAAGACAATGAGGACATTCCTCATACTTTGGGGTCCGGGTGTGTGCCTGTCAACCAAGACACCAAAACACAAAGCTTCCCAGGAACACAGGCACACTCCATGCTAGGTTGCCTTTTGCAACTTAAAATGCTGCTGCCAATGGCCTACATCAGACCTCCCTGTCCACCTCTACAGAAGCTTCCCTTCCACGAAGTACGGTCCATTCTCCCAACTTCTCTGCTGTCTCTCGCTTCAAGAAATTTCCTTCTGCACTTGTTCTACTCTTGGAAAATTTTTTTACTGCCCACATCACTGGCCTTCCATATGCCTTTTGAGGCAGCCTGGCCAATTTAGCAAGACTGTCTCAAAAACAAAAATGCTGGTGATGCAGCTTATCACATCCTGGATTCATCCCCCAGTTCTGTGAAAAAGATTTCATGGTCTTTCTTGAAACGATGCCAGGATGTTCTATCTGAGGAAGGTGTGGAGACAGAAAACTTGGGTTCAGTTTCCATCACCTGCCTTCACGGCTAGGGGATGGCTCAGTCCAGGTATTGACCCCTGGGAAGGGGATCATTAAGCCCTGTGGAGCTCACCTCACAAAAGGTGTGTGTGTGTGTGTGTGCGCGCACGTGTGTGTGGCACTGACATGGTCATTCAGCAGGAGGTTCCATGTTCTGTAAGGCTGTCTTGTCACTACCGGTACCTCCAGTCCCTTGTCCCCTGATGGTGGAAAGGGCAGGGAGTGGCCCTTACCTTTGTATAGCCTGCAGGGGACAGCAGGCACAGGGTGCTGAGTACAGATCACATTCCCTGGCAGGCTTCAGGGAGGCAGGGATAGGTCATAGCCCAGGTTTGGAGGAAGGAGAAATTCCGTAGTAGTCATTTTCCTGTCACTGGGACAAAGTACCTGACACCTCAACTTAAAGGATGAGAGGTTTAATTTGGCTCAGAGTTTCAGTGGGTTCAGTTCATGGTAAGCTGGCTCCAAGGCAGCATGGTGAAAGGGCAATGATAAAGGAGGAAAGCGGCTCACACCATGGTGGGCAGGAAGCAGAGAGACAGAGAGAGAGAGAGAGAGAGAGAGAGAGAGAGAGAGAGAGAGAGAGAGGGAGGGAGAGGGAGAGAGAGCGCTTGTGAGAAGTGAGAAGAATACACACTTCCAGGTCACACCCCAGTGACCTGTCTCTTCTGAACAGCTTCCACCTCCAAATTGTACCTTTAGTGATGAACTCATGAATGGATTAATCCAGTGATGAGTAAAGTGCCCCCACGATCCAATCACCTTCCAAATACTCTACCTATGAACACATGAGACTTTTAGGAGACATTTTCTTTTTTAAATTTTTATCTCTATTAGTACATGTTTGTAGTACATAAGGATTGCTTGCATTCACTGTAGGGAGTTGGTACATGTACATAACACATTTTAATTCTTTTTAATTCCCTTTCTCCCCTAGGGGACATTTTAGATCTAAACCACAACACCTCCACAGAGCCCAGGCTCTGCTGGCCTCCATGTGCACATGCATTTTAGGTTGAACAAATTTTAAAAGGGTGACCTCAGCCCCAGGAGGTGCAATTTTGAATTAGAAGTCTCTTTTGTGGAAGAGAAGTTGCCGCCTTCCAAAGAAGGCCCAGCATGCTGATGGAATGGGCATAAGGCATGGAGCCAAGCCCAGGCCTTCTGCCAAGGCAAAAGAGACTGCAGTGGTCCCTGTACCCCTTACATGAAGTCTGCCTTACCCTCCTTACAGGGTCATGAATGGATTTTTCTTTAACAGTGGATCTGGGAAGAGGGTGTGAAGTTAGGAGTGGGGATTGGAAGCCAGGAGGGTATGCTTTCCCATGCTGAGAGTGAGCAGGCTGCTCTCTCTGCTTCAGGGGTGTTTGTTTAGTTAAAGCAGAGCAGGAAGATGGCAAGACATCCCCTAGATCCCAACCTGGGAACTTACAGGGTACTCGAATCACAGCTAGACTTCTTTAGGCAGAGTTCAGCTTCCTTAAATCTCTCTGGGAATGGACAAGATGGCACTGACCAAGGGAGGGCTGCTGATGGCTCCCTGCACCTTTCGGCTCATCTATGGGCCTCAGGGGTAATGGGCTTTACTTAGTCCTCTACCGTTGCTCATTGAAGCACTTTTGTGTGACTCCGAGGATGCACAGTTCTCTCCACCCTATCACAGTGGACACATGTGCATGTGTCTGCAGGAGCAAGCTGCTTGGGAAGGAGCTTCAGCCGGCTTTGAAGAGTTCTGAGGCTAAACCTCAACTTGGGCCTGCTGGTGGGAAGGTGCCTGGGGTTGGGCCCAACTGTGGAAGACGCTGCATCACAGCTGCAGCAAGATGAAGAACCACAGACCATCAGGACTGTGGTGGATGGGAGGGTCCTTAGAAAACCAGTGTGGGGAGGGTGTGACCAGTTTGTGGCAAATCTGTCGGGGAGCCCTCTTGCCTGACCTCCCCATTTCTCCTTAGGATGAGGAGACTGAGGCTGAGGGAGAAAGGGTTCCTGGGGTTTCAGAGCCAGGAAGGTGCTGAATGATGAGAACTCTGAGACCCTCAGGACGGGGAGGGCAAGACGAATAAGGGGCCAGTGTCAAGCCACTCTGGGGCCTCCATCTCCCCATCCCGGAGAAGACCTGCACCAGGATTTCATCTCTCAGACACTAGTTCTAACATTTCCCAATCCCAGCTTCCTTTGGTACACACCCTCTGGCTTTTCCATTTTTCTGAAACGTGCAATTTGATTCCTTAAAATCAAATACTACCAACCAGCTTTACTTGCATTTACTCATCATTAAAATCAAGAGGCCAGTTCCTTGGTTGAGTTTAGACTGATCCATTATGTAGCAAAGAAAAAATTTAAAACTCCCAATGCATCCAATTAATTATCTAAATTTTTAGTGAAGTAAAAATAAAGCAGCTAATGTTTTGGTTCTTTCCCTCATGATGTGAAAAGTTAAATATTTTTCCTGATAGTATTCATATTACCATTGTGTTAAAAGCTGTGCAAAGTGTGGCGCTAGTGCGCGCGCGCGCGCGCGCGCACACACACACACACACACACACACACACTCTCCAGGGAGTTAATGAAATATTCCTAACCCTCAGGATTCCTTGTTAATCACCTTCTGTCTTTCTGGGGTTATAGATTAACCACTCTACCCGGCTTGCCTCTGACTAATCCAACTGCCAAGCTCTCCAGAGGAGCTTCCTTCTGCGTCCCCGGGCCTTGATCCCCGCCTCTCCCGCAGCCTCGCCTGTGCGGCAGCCCTGGGCACCCTGGGCTGGGGCTGCTAGGTGGCGGCTCACCCGCTCACGGGCTGCTGTTGGCAGCTGTTCCCGACCGGGGTCTCCTGGAAGCTGCAGTTTCGCCTCCGGGTTTGTGTGCGTCTGAGTCAGCTGGGGTTGGTGATAAATGCTGAGATGCCAGCACGGGGCACGGGGAGCGCAGGGCTCTTTTGGACCAGGAGCAGGGCGCAGGCCGACTACACAGCAGGCCTGGGGTTACGGACACGGTGGGGTCCCTAGCTAAATGTTCAGCAGGTCCACTGAAGCAGGGGACGCAACCCGGGCCACCAGCGCCTCAGGCATTTCATACAGCGCATGCACGCACCGGTTAGGCCAGCAGAAGGCCCTGGCGAGCGGGCGCGCCCCCGGTTCTTCCGCCTGGTGGAGGCCGGTGCCTGGCAGGGCGGCCGGGTGCCCGGGGCCACTAGGTGGCAGTGTTCCCCCGCGCATGCCCGGCGCCCCGCGGCCCAGACGCCCGCCGAGGATTTCTAGATCCTGCATGGAAAACCCGGGCCTCTTCTGGCTCCTCCAGTCCTCCTTCCTGCTCGAAAGCTTCCCTCACGCTTCCGGCGGCGGGCAGCGGTCGACCCTGCGCAGGCCGAAGCACGCGGGTGCCCGGGAGCTCCCGGCCGTGCTCCTGGGGAGAGGGCCTCCGGGAGGGCAGTGGGGTGACCTCGGGCATTTTGGAGGACGCCTCTAGCTCCAGACCCACAGGAGAGGTCGGCTCGGCTGTAGTTGACCGCGGAGGGGGCGCTGGGGCTGCGGAGCCCGGGGTGCAGTCTAAGTGGGCAGCGCCGCTCACCCGGGGCGCTGCAGAATGGAACTGTGGGTGTTGATTGTGAAAAACATGCACACGCGTGAAAAAGTGAACACATAAGAGTCCTCGCTCATCCATTGCTTAAATCCAACCATTATCAAGATTTTGCTAATTATTTTGCTTAATCATATTTTTCCCTTTTGTCTTTGTTGAAATATTTTCAAGCAAAAATTAAATCTAGAAATTGCTTTCCTTCATGTCCGTGCCATTTTCAGACGTTGATAATCATCTCTTCGTACAGATTGAGCATCGCTAGCTTGGAAGTCAAAAACCGGAAGGGCTCCAAATCCTCAAAGTTTAATACCACAAGTGGAAAGAATCTATACCGTGAAAGTTTCTTTCGTGTACACAGTTACTAAAAGTATTGTATAAAATTCCTGGGTGTGGTAGTGCACGCCTGTAATTCCAGCGCTTCTCCAAGATAACTTAGTGAGACACTGTCAGAAAGAAAGAAAGAAAGAAAGAAAGAGGAAGGAAGGAAGGAAGGAAGGAAAGGGGCCTGGGGAACGTAGAATGTAGCTCAGTGATAGCACCGGTCAGGTCCTAGCACATCTGGGGCTCCAACACTGAATAAAGAAAAAACTAAAGTGAGCACTTGGCTCTGCCTAGAAAGTGTGTATGGAATATATGTGAATTTCCTGTAGACACATGGGTTTCATAACAAGATGTGCCATTATGTATATTCAGATATTCCAAAATCCAAAACAAAGTTCTAAATTGAAAACATTGGTCCCACCCATCTGAGGTAAGAAGTGCCCAACTCAGGTCATCTGGTTCGGAGCCATGCCGGCTCCACATGCTGCCCTCCTGTAGAGACAGAGTGTGCTGGTTCATGACGTTCTGCATGAACAAATGCTTGGAACTGAGGATGGCTGGGAGGAAGAAACGAGATCAGACACTTTTTCTGGTCTGGCACTTTGAGTCCAACAGATACGTGATAAATTGACATTCTCATGTGCCTCTCTTTCCTTTCAATACAGAGAACCCATAGCCTCCTCAGCTAGCTAGTCTTATTTCTCAACAGCTCAGGTTGTTAGAAAACCTGTGGAAAGCCTGCTCATAATTTCGGTGGGCCCTCAGCTTGTCTGAGAACCACCTCAGCTTGTGCACAGAACCACGGGCACTTCTATAAGTGTTGTGTTCTTTGTGAGTCTCTTTTCCTTGACAGCAACCTGAGTTGTTTGTGACTGTCCTTCATGAGATGCATTTTCCAGTTTCCTTGTTGGCCGTTTTGTTCACTCTGCCCTGGCCAACCTCCACATGGCCAGTCTCCTCGGGAGGCTGTGATGACTGAGACATTCTATTTGTGGCCCCAGAGAACCACCCTAACTCTGCCCCTGTTCTGGGCATGTCCTTGCACCCAGGTGGGTCAGATGTCATGAGACAGGCCCTGCTGCCGATGTCAGCCTTCCAGGCCTCCCTTGGGCATCGCTGGCCAGGAACCTTTCCTTTCATTTTGTCAGCCCGTATGTTGGGATTCATGTGAATTATGTCTCATGTTAGTTTCAACCCAGTTTTCTGGCTAACTTTCCCTCCTTCCATACAACACTAGTTCTCTAGCTTTGAGCTCCTTGTGTGATATCTTTTTTTCCTTATGTGATATTTTAAGGTAAGTCATTCAGCATATTACCTACTTCTCCCAGCTTGATGTTGGCTAATTTAGTAAACAGGCCTTTGTTGTCTGTCTTCAGGGTATTGGTAAATACAGCTTACAGCTTGTTTTTTAAAATTTTTTTTATTAAATTCTTTTATTGGTACATTGTAGGTATACAACACAATTACATTTCTCATTGGGAATTGTACCTTTA